TCAACTAGAGAAGAAAAAAAAAAAAAAAAAAAAAAAAACCAATGTTATTTAAAATAATGAAGACCAATTGCCGAACCAAGATGACAAATGTTGTGAATGCACTGCATTACGAGTTTTGAGAGTCCTTTCTATGGAGAAAACTTCATTGTGCCAGTTGCATAGTGCAACGGGCATTCGGACCGTCCGTATAATACGCATGTCCATGCAAAATTAAAAATTTGCATCCAAGAGGAGGAAAATTATACGAGGATAGTGGGAGGTTGACATGGGATGTGAACTTCTTCAGAGCTTTTCAAATTGGGAGTTGGACGACGTCTATGGGTTGTTGGAATGGTTGTATTCTCATGAGATTCGAGGCGGAGGTAGGGATTCTCTAGTTTGGGTGCCTTCTTCTCGAGGAATTTTTAAAGTGAGATCCTTTTTTTGGTGTTTTTCAGATATTGTTGGGATTGTGTTTCCATAGAAGGCAGTGTGGCAATCCAAGGCGCCGCCCAAAGTGGCGTTCTTTGCTTGGACAGCGGTGTGGGGCAAGATTTTGACACTTGACAACTTGAGGCGGCGAAATCAAATCATAGTTAACTGGTGTTGCATGTACAAGTGTAATGGAGAGTCGGTTGATATGTTACACTATCTAGTGGCTTATGATTGTTGGAGCCTTTTGTTAGGTATTTTCGAGGTTTCGTGGGTTATGCCTAGATCTACGAGAGGATTGATGGACACTTGGAGAGGGTGCTATGTGGGATCTCATGCTCGTGGATAATGGAGGATGGCGCCTTTGTGCTTTTGGTGGTGTTTGTGGAGGGAGCAAACAATAGATTCTTTGAAGGAGAGGAATCTTCGATTGTTGTTCTTAAATATTTTCTTATCAATTCTTTATGTTGTTGGATTTCGGGTAGTCACTGTTCCTCCCCAAAGGAGAGGATCGATTTTCTGAGTTCCTTAGGACCTTAGGGTCCTCTGGGTCTGTTTTGTTGTTTCGGGAAACGGTCCCCTTTTGAACGCTTTTTTTGAATTCTCTTATTTATCGAAAAAATAAAAAAAAAAAGATTGTTGAATATCATAATGGACTTATTGAATTTCGTAGTTAGGGAGAATTTGAATTTGCAAATATGTTATTTTTATTTTTATTTATTTTTAGTTGAAATTCACAAAGTAGTTAAAAATAGTTAACCCAACAAAGAAAGCCTCTAGATCGGTTTTTTTTTTTTTTTTTTTTTTGGATAAGTAAGAATTTATTAAAAGGCGTTCAAAAGAGGAACGCATCCCTCAAAAACAAAAGAAGGCCAAATAGGGCCTCTAAACGCTCATCAGATCCAAAAACTCTACGAGCTCATCCAGAGATTTATAATTTCTTCCTAGAACCCAACAAAAAAAGGTGCTAAGAATAGAGAATTTCAGCGACCCAATATGATTTTCCTTTCCATCAAATGATCTCCTATTCCTTTCAAGTCATAGACACCACAAGACACGCAAAGGAGTGACTCTCCAAGAGTCACGAGCTTGGGCCCCAAGAAAGCCTCTAGATCGTGGACTATAAATCAGTGGCTAGGGTTTTGGTCCTTACAACTATCAAAATAAATAGAACAAGTAATAATGAAATAAATAAATAGTTAGTTCCAAAAAGTAAAGGAGTATTGGAAACATTTACACCTATATGATCAGCATGGGCAAGAAAAAGTAAAAGTAAAAGTAAAAAGTTGGAGAATTTACTTACAGTTAACCCAACCAAGAAAGCCTCTAGATAAATAAATAGAATAAGTAATAATGAAATAAATAAATAAATAGTTCTGAAAAGAAAAGGAGTATTGGAAACATTTAAGCCTTTATGATCAGTTTGGGCAAGAGAAAGGCAAAGTAAAAATTTGGTGATTTTACTTACAGCACCACAAAAACGATGAGCACAGAAAATAAAGGAAGTAGATAAGTTTTGGTGGTGACAACATGAGCTTTCAAGTGAATTTTATCTTCCTCCTCATCAACTTGTTTAGAAACTAGTATTCTGGAGCATCGAACCAGAGAATGTTTCGGCTGGCTATCATGCCAAATAAAGTAGAACTCATTATCACGGAAATGAAAAAAGCCTGGCACATGATAGATTTGGCCATGAAAAAGCTTATAGCCGTCAACAAAACAATCAAAGCCTAAGATAGTGCTGCTGGCCGACAAATGCGTTTCCATATCATACACAGATAACTTGAGCCTGGGCTGCAACTTACAAGAAATCCAGTAGAGAGTATTGTCAACCAATGCTGCTCCGGTTATATTCGAGGATTCAAATTCAAACTCATCGTGTCTAGAATATGCCACGAAGAACCACCGACTATTGGTGTGGTTAGGCAAGGAGGTATTTGGTTTTCATGGAGCCGCAGATAATCCTTTTTTTAGCATCATCATAATTTGCAAAGAATCCATAATGGTAGTACTTTAGAGACACAGGAGATGAAGGAGGAGTGACAGTTACCCAAGAATTGTTGATTGTGTCGAAAACCTCAATCTCCGGATTTCCTCTATTGCCCCAAAGACATAGATCTTGTCATCTACAGCAACTGGGTGAGGGCAGCTCCTTATACTTTTCATCGGAGCAACTTGCTTAAACTGCCTCAATGACAAATTGATGGCACGGACTTCATCAGAGTACTTATCATAGTAATCACCACCACCGATGCTGTAAATAGTTGAGCCAATAGGTACACAGCGGCTCCACAATGGAGTCTTCACATTCTCCCAGATCGGATTCATTGCTGCCATATGAGGAAAACCTTTTCCTTTCCTTCTTTTCGTTTCCCCACCGCGGTCATTGCTTGACAATTTAACTTCGTACCAGTTCATCTTTGATCCACGATAGTTCTCCAATTTACACGCACGAATACACATAGTTCTCTCAACCACCGGCAGACATGGATTTGGGTCTCCTGGGAGCATCATCAATTGACCAGACAAAGATTTGGGTATTGTCAAATCTTTTCTTCTATTCTCCTTCATCTTTCTCACTTTCAAAAGTTGCCCAAACGTTGCCATCGCCAACCCACCCGAGATCGATCGTCAGCCAATTTCCTTCTGTATTGTCACCCAAGCGCCCTAAATGTTAGGGTTTCGAAATTTGAACGAGATTCTTCACCAGGCCTCTCGACCACGCGCTCCTTACTTCATTATCACATACTATTTTTATTATTTTATTTTATGTCCGTAAATTACAATAACACCCTCTTATTAGAGACTTGTTATTTTGTTAAGGTCTGTCTCCACGGGTTGGCATGTCAAATGGTTCCAACCATGGTTCGGATGAAATCTAATTCATTATTTTAAGAGTAATAATATTTGAACCGATTTGTTGTATTGAATTACCTAATCAAGTATTTCTGATTTATTATTTATGCACAGTACATGTAAATGGAGGGTGATAATTCACTATAACAAATCGAATAAATAAAGAAGTAGGGTCTCCACTTATATGTATTGTACATAAATAACCAATCAAAAAAATTCGGTTAAGTAATTCTAAGGGTGTTCAAATAATCTGCTAATCCGTCAAACCGATCCGAACTAATCCAATCCGTATGGCTCGGTTCGGTTTTTTGATTTAATGGTTCGGTGATGGTTTTAAAAATTAGCAATCCGCAATGAGCGGTTCGGTTAACAGATTGAACCTTGAAAAAACCGATCCGATCCGTGAATTATATTATAATATATATATATATATATATATAATTATATGTATATTGTAATATATTATTTCTATTTATTTATTTTTTATTCATTATTTGCTTTTAAATTTTAGTCCTACATAAGCGTATCTAACCCTTGGTTTTCTACTCCCAGCCTCTAAATCTCTGCATGTATATCAACTCTCTCTTCGTCACTCATCTTCAGAAGAAACTATATTATATATTATTAATTTATTACCATAACATCTAAAAAATTCTTGCAAATCTCCATCACTCACTTTCTTACTATTTTTTTTTAGATTAAATGTGTTACAACACACTGTTTTGACAGATTTATTATTTGGCTGAGTCATAACTAAAATAGTAAAATATAATCATATATTGGGTTAGGCATAACTACAATATAATTATATTAAGTTATTTGAAAAAACTCAATCCGTTATTTTACAATTCGGTTTGGTTCGGATTAATAGTCTCTGCGGATCGGTTCGGTTTTAGATTTAGCCAATCCGTGAGGACCGGATTGGTTTGAATTTTATCTAAAACCGAACCAATTCGATCTATGATAATTCACTGTAACAAATTGGTGCAAATATCATTACTCTTATTTTAAAAACATTCGGTTAGTAATTTATTAATGGTCTCTCATAATAATATCATTACTCTTATTTTAGTTATATTTTTTTAAGTCAAATCTTCGTCCAACAAATTAGTGGTTTATTAATGGTCTCTCATAATAATATTAGTTAGTATAAGTCACCACTTTTCATGTGTAATAATGAATTAAATTTTTTTTATTTTTTTTCCCTGAACAGTAAAAGATAGATTCTTCTTTTGCGCATTCAGCCACGCGTGTGTATTACACGCTCGCTATCGAACGGTTAAATGTGCCCGTTATACAGTGCGACAGGAGTGCAAGGAAATTTTTCTCCTTTGTATGGTGTAAATAATGCAAATGCCATTTGAACATTAAAAAGATAGATTCTTCTCTTCTTTTGCCTTCAACTATTATACCTATTAGTTTTTTCCACCCTAAAACTCCTAACCAGTCTTAAAGCTTCTGCTTTGTAGGACCACTGGGCACCTCTTTTACCACCGTTGGACCTAATTTAAAAGGCTTACTTGAGAAGTAGGCCTTTTTGTAAAGAAAGATCTCAGACCAACTAAAAGAAGCTTTAGCAAAGCAGCCTTTGGGTTCCTCTTTTAACTTTGTTTGCTGGAAGACAAAGAAGGAATCCCATTTCTTGGAGGGAAGTTTCCTACAATTTCTTGGAATACCCCATTTCAAACTTTTTGGGCATAAATTGAATCACCCCAAAATGTGTACGTGTCTATATATCAACCAACATACCCATTTTATTGTGTGTTGGTCTCTCACCTGCCTTGTGCTCACATCTCTCCTTCATAATTTGTTCCCTCAAAAGATTTCTCGAGTAGTATTGCTGCTTTCCTTTCAAGAATTCAATATTCTTGATATCACAAAGCATATATATATATATATAAATATATATATTGAAGCCATTGCTATCATTTTCCAAGCTTGTTTCTTGGAACCATTTCCATAAAAAAGAATTTTCTTAAGAAACAAACAGAATGGGAGTTGGAGGAACTTTAGATTACATCTCTGGGTGGGTGAGCAATGGCCATAAGCACAAGAAGAAGAGGAAGCAATTTCAAAATGTGGAGCTCAAAGTGAGGATGGACTGTGAAGGCTGTGAGCTTAAAGTCAAGAAAGCCTTGTCTTCACTAAGTGGTATGCTGATTTCAAACTATTTATTTTCTTGGTGGTGGTTGTTTTACAAATGTAAATTCCTGAAAAATAATGTTGTTGTTGTTCTCAACAGGAGTTAAATCAGTGGAGATAAACAGGAAGCAACAGAAGGTGACTGTAATTGGGTTTGTTGATGCAAACAAGGTGTTGAAGAAGGCAAAGTCAACAGGGAAGAGGGCAGAGATGTGGCCCTATGTTCCTCACAACATTGTGTCTCAGCCTTACAATGCTCAATCTTATGACAAGAAGGCACCTCCTGGCTTTGTCAGGAAGGTTGACAATCCAACAAGTGGCACCCTCACCAGATTTGAGGACCCCTACATCACCATGTTCAGTGATGACAACCCCAATGCCTGCTCCATCATGTAGATATATGCATGATGGAAATAACTCTCTCCCCCTCCCTCCCTCCTGAGGGAGGCCTAAGCTCTCTCTCTCTCAGAGGGTATTTTTCATATTTTGCAAGTCCTTGTAAGTTCTGTTGTGAGTGATTCAGGTGGACACACAGCTTTAGAATGGTTTTAGCAGATTGATGAAAATAAAATGGTTGTTATGAGACACCAAGTATTAGCTTTACTTTAATTTAGTTTCCTAATGCATTATTGTGGTTTTACTTTTGCTTACCACAACAGAAAAAAGGTTATTATGTCTGTGATGCTTTGGGGATTGTACACAGCTGTAGCCTGTAAAAAGATGCAAATGCAAGCTGTCTGAGGCGAAATTTCTTTGTATACGCTAGGAATCTGAAATTCTTCACCAGCATTTACTAATACTATTACCCACATTATTAGATTTAAATCAAATCTATGAACACATTGTTTAGGTAGAGCTTGGCTATGCTCTCCAAGGAGCTTTTTCATCTGGGTTTTGGGAAATGTCTTCCTTGTCATTCTGACATTCAGGGGAAAAAAAAAATTTTTAAAATTTGTGAATTTGGTTCCATGAAAATTGGGGCAAATACAAGAGGGTACAATGGAGGTAATATATATATATATATATATATATATATATATTTTGGTGGGGTTGTCGGGGGGAAAAGATACTGGTAAAAGAAAAATATTTGAATGCATACTGGTAAAGCACATACTGTTGGGGCATCCATTTTCCATCCAAAATGGCGACAAATTGTTCCTCTATGGACGATGAGGGAGGTCCGAGGCAATGTCTACAAGTGGTTATATCAGAAAGTAGGGAGATTCAAAGTCTGCTTCATACAAGAACATTTAAGAGAGAATATGAGCATACTTCAATTATACAAAAAAATTTCCCTACCCTGTTTTGTTTTCCTTGGTAATCAAATACAGAAAACGATTTCATTTTTGTTTTCTTTAATTTTTCACTCACCAAACCTACAAACAAAACATAGGCTAAGATCAATATCAACAAAATTCATAAAGCAATTCATGAGCAGTGCATAAAGTTTAAGAAAGCACAAGTATAAACCAATAGTTATTGGAGAACACAACCATACCACAATTTGCTTCTTTACAGGGTATTTCACCAACTATGCAAACATGATTAGCAATGTGACATTCATTTAGAATACCCCTTCCAATTCATATAAAGCTTGGTGACCACATAGAGAATAAATGGTTCCTAATAAGTCCCCTAATCAAGTTGGTCTTTCAAATTTGATGACTACTGTACTATATCCTGCTATCACAGACATTAGTAATCGATGTGGTCTTTTTGAGATGGCAAATTTCAGAATGAACCTAGAAGATTCTCTAGCAGCTACCTCAAGCCTTGCCCCAAAAAAACATATGAATGGATGGAAAAATAAAAATGATGAGCCTCAAGGAGCTCCATAAAAGGAAATAAAATTAGACAAGAAAAAGAAGATCAAGGAACTTGCTACCAAATCAAATTTAAGTGGTATCCGAAAATTACATATACAAAAGGTACTGAATTTAAGTTGCATGCCGTGTAAAACACAGATCCTATACTAGTTTATTCAACCAGGATGGCCAATTACCTCTTCTGAATCCCAAGCAATCCCAGCTTAGCATGGAACATCTTGTCCTTATAAGTGGCGACTTGAATCAGAAATAAGATTCTGCCATCTTTTTCTACTCGAAGACATCTGCACCTTTTGCTCCAAATCGTTAGAACCAAACTATTTTCAGGTGAGTTCTAAATAAAAACAGAAAGCATATTGAGACAAGGTTACTAGTCCCACTAAGACATGTCTAGCATAAAACAGTCCTCGAGGATTTGAGTGATAATTTTTTTCTTTCCATGCCCTATAAAAATTTGGAACTAGCAACTGCTACCATTCTTGTTAAGTTCAACTAGACCGTAATCTGCAGCCAAAATATTTAATAAATCATCCAAACAATAAACAAATAACTATGAAATGTCCACAAGATGAGTGTGAATACGTCATTCAACATATATCAACAATCATATCCTCAATTGTGTGCTCCACAGTCCACACTGCAATTATATCTAGCTATTTAAGTGATCTGCTTTTGATCCTTAGAATCAAACCAAGGAGTTTGCACTATAGCCAATATGTGGCAAATGTATGGTGATGCAAGACATACCACAAGATGCACCCAACAAAGGGAACTGTAAATGTTCATTAAGCATCATGGTAATATATAATTGCCAGATGATCTAAATACATGGAGTATGGTCATTCCAATTTCTTACCACGTAAGAGGAAAGAGACCTTCTCATTGTTTCTGGAGCCCAAACTGATGTCTTCTGAGGTTTTGAAATTTCACTAACCCACCAAAGTTTCTCATGAAATGTCAAATGCTTAGGAATTGGTCATTTCATGAGTTCATTTTACTTCAGGGTTAAGCAACTCTTCCCAGCTTCTTAAACCAAAGAAAATTCTTCGTCAAAATCAAAGGGGAAATGATGACATTAGCGCGGGGGGGATGGCGGGGCGGCTGTTCTTAGGTTACTGGATTGTATTCGATGTCCCTTATAAGAATGTATCTACCTAACGCGCAATGGACAGATGGTGAGGTTTAGATCTTTATCCCAGAAGGGATGTGCACAAAAAGAAATGAGCTTATTGAACTTTGAGTAATCTGATTGACGCTTGGAGAGGTAGTACAGTGGGGGCACATATTCAGGATGCTTGGAGGGCTATGCCTTTGTGCGTGTGGTGGTGTATTTGGCCCGAGAGGAATAGGAGATATTTCGAAGGAAAGGAGATGCCTATTTCTATGCTTAAATTCTCTATTCTTTCCACTCTTTTTGTTGGGCCTCAGGGAGAAATTATAGATCTTTAGAGGAGATTGTTGATTTTTTGGCCTCTTTGAAGGCTTAGAGGCCCTTTTTGGCCTTGTGTTTTTCTCTTGGGCTTCGCTCCCCTTCTGAGCGCTTTTATACAATTTCACTTATCAAAAAAATAAAAAGTTTGAGTAATCAGATCCCTATTTGAGTTCTAAGTTCTAACAGACAAAGTGAAAAGTTATTTTTAGGAGGAAGTGTCAAAAAACTTACCTGAACAAATTGCCGCTGGCTTCTCACATGTTGTGTATTGCATGAGATAGAACTCCTTCATTTCCTATTTCCCGAGTAGATATTGATGAAGTTGATATCGTAGACAAGAGTTGCATTTGCAGGAATATTGCAGTCACCTCCGTAAAGAATATAATAGGTGTCAGTATTTTATTGCATAATAATTTATTGCATCATGTCTCTTTCTTCATGTTCATGAACCAAACAAACGCCAAACCTTTAACTTGTCATTCTAGCCAAAACATTCACTTCTCATGTTATGATCAGGACTATTCATCTAAGTTAGTTAGGACAACTGAATTTGATAAAATCCAACAAATGTTTTTGGTCTTGTGAGTGTCTATAAGAGTCGTTTGGTACCAATATCTAATCTAATGAAAATCAAAGAAAAAATGTGCAATTGGAATGTTCCCTCATATATTACTATGATATAATATTTACTAGGTCATGATATCATATATAAACATGTATCGACTCCATATATTTTTAACATTAGATTCCCTGAACCAGATTTTCGATTTCTTCTTGTCAAATCGAACCAATTACTAGTTTAACAGCACTAAAAAATAAATTGTTAACAGCACTAATTTTAGACACCAACGAGCCAGTGGCCTAGTGGTATCAGGCCCTTACTTCCCAAAGGAAGGTCAGGGGTTCAAGCCTCCATGGAGGCATGTGTGTGTGAGTATCAACTATGAAAAAAAAAAAAAAATTAGACTCATGGTTAATAATTCTAACCATGTCATTGTTGTTGTATCTTTATGAGATATTTCAGGTTCCGGATTTCAATCAACGTGAAGGTTCCATTTGTACTTTGGAAAACACGGGGGAAAGGGAAGGAAAATGATTAAAATGACTTCTTTTTATAGCAATTTTATTTTTTTTCCTTTCCTAATTCTTTTCAAGATACAAATGGAGCCTAGGAACCAAGAATTATAATTTTCAGTTTATTGCAACTCACCTGAAAAGCAACCAGCAGGTTCAGGCCCATATGCCAACTCTGGAGGAATTTGAAGCTTCCGTCTTCCACCTGTTTAAGAATGCTAAGTTAAATCTCCTGGGAGTAAAAGAAGTAACAATAAAACGAGCAACTACAGTAGCCTATTTAGTATATTCAGAACCCTACCGACTAGCATGGGTGGTACTCCTTCACCTCCTAAGATTCCTTGATCCAATCCCTTAATCACCTGGACACAAGGTTGAAAAATGATATTAGTAAGACTTACTGAAGGTAAATTACAGGACATCATCAATAACCTAATTTATATACGTGGAAGTCCTATGTCTTCACTATGGAGAGAAAAGGAAGGGCATAAAAGCTTCAAACGCAGAATGTTAGCACAAGAAAACGTCAACCAAGCTTGAAGTTTAAACATATGGTGTAGATTGAATACGATCCTAACTTCTAAGTTAGTCAGTGTATTCATTATTTCCCTTCACCAATTAGTCTAGGGTAAATTACACTCGCACCTCCTCAGGTTAGGCCTAATTACACACAGTGGTTGAAATAGGGTTAGGCCTAATTACACACAGCGGTCGAAATAGGCCTTCACTACAATGACCACCCACATCACCGTTAAGTGGTTACGGACATAAAAAATGTGAATGAAATGTTAATTGTACCCCTGAATTTTATAAGATTAAAAATAAAAATAAAAAATAAATAAATAAATAAAAAATATTACCTTGTAAATTACATTACTATACTACCCCTCTTTGTCTCTCTCTCTCTCTCCAAGTCCACAATAGCCATTCCTCTCTGTCCTCTTCTCTCTCTTTCTCTCTCTTTCTCCAACCATCCCCAACGCCAATACCAACCCATCAAAATCCCAAACTAACCCATCAACACCAACCCATCAATGGAGACCTTACTACCAGCTTTAGCTTCCACATGATGTGCGAAGAAATGCAGAAGTCAAACTCAACCCGCCATCTGCATCCTCAACTCGATCTCCATTGTTGATCCAACTCCATTCCCATTCATCCCATCAGTGATCGTGGGTCCCAAATTCTCCGCTGCCGCTGACAATGGGAAGGACTCGACGGAGAACATCGCCACCATATACTGAGTCCTTCGGGCATCATCCCCAACCCCGTTTTCGGCTTTTGTGTATTCTATTGGGAGCGCTCCCCTCTTGAGCACCTTTAATGAAATCTTACTAATAAAAATAATAATAAAATAAAATAAAAAACAAATCATTGTAGAAAAATGCCAGTTTCTTTCAAGTGTGCACTTATTATTTTTCACTGTATAAGGCCAAACTAACTAGTCGATTTTTCTTTATTTCTTTCCATTGGTACTAATTCCAATGTTTTATGAATGTGTTAATACTCTATTTTATCCTATCTTCTTTTACCACACATTTGATGAACAAGTCGTTTTTGAATTGCCAACATTATGCACCATAATGAAATATCTGCCTCATAGTTGTTTTATTAAACCTACCTTTCAACTTTATAGGTAGATGCCAGGGCACATTACTCCAGAGGCCACTTTGCTATGTTACCTAACATATAAGAAGAGCAGAAGTCGACAACAAAATCTTTCAACTTCACAGAAACATCCTTATGTTCAAGTGTCTAGACAAGCTACATGTATAATATCACTTGTTTTGGGGTTTAGTTAAACAATACACGTATAATCATGAGCAACAAGTTAAAAACTTCAGCAGTTACTGTCCACATGTATTTCCATCTAAGTTTATATGGAGTGATTGAGTGAATGCATTTCACATTATGTGAAACAGATAAATTATATGGGTGATGAAAGATTGAGAACGAATAACAAATTTATATGGAGTGAATGCATTTCATATTATGTGAAACAGATAAATTTTGTGGTGATGTCACATTGAGAATGAGAAACAAATTATGGTCCCTTCTATGTACAGAAAGCTGCTTTGATTATTAGTTATGATTAGTCAAATTTTGGATATGAACAGGTAATATCACTGTTGTAGTAATTGACAAGATGTAACAGAGATTGCGACAATAGTTCAGCAGTAAAAACTAATACTTACCTTGCCAACACCAATGCGCATGGTGAGAGGTCTAGCACGTTTGTAGCTGCTGTCAAAAACTATCCCATCAGCAAACCTTGCAGTGTAGTGAACCTGAAAAACAAAAAATAAAAAATAAAAATCATGAAATTGCAACTGGCAATATGTTTATTATTACATGATAATATCCTGAACTATATTATGGCAATATAAACTACTTAAAGACTTGAAATTTTAACTCAGGCCCAGATTACATGTCCATTGTAGGATTTATTAAAAACAGGAAGGAAAATTTAAAGCATGGCCAGCTACAATAAGGAAATAGTGGGTATATTGGTTCCCATCATCTTGCTCGAAGAATGTCTCCACTTCAAATAGGCTATTGAAGGTTGGTTTTGTTTGTGAGTCTCCGAGTTTTTGGACAAAACATATCTTAGCAGCTTGGAACAACATCAATCAGCAACAAAAGATGCAATAAATTTTACTCATCATTAAAAGATTCCGCACCTGACAAAACCAATCCACAACAAAAGAAGCAATCAATTCACTTATCTTTAGATTATACTCGACGTAACTTTTCCATGAGGCAATTCATTAAGCCACGGCTTGACTGATTTGTGCATTAAATTCTAAATACTGGATGCTATGCATTGTGCACTGGGAACTAACTGAAAGGGGGTGATCCAATGTCATTATTAGTAAAAAAATGCATGCCTCAATTAATAAAGATCAATGAGGCCTACTCCAATCATATACATGTTTATTTTGCTCAATCTTCTTCAATACAAGCATTACATTATGCATCAATTAATCATTAAGATGCGGCTTTGCATTTGCAATAAATAACAATCATGTTACTACATTTTTTACACCAAGGATTTGGCACACTTAGATTCTTTCTCAGACTTGTTTGTATCATTGATGGTGCAAATTGGTATCAAATAAAATTGGTTTTTGTTTCTATTTTTTCTCTTATAATTTTTGCTTTGGAGCCAAAAAAGTGAATAACCAGAAACAGCCTCTCCATACGGAGGTAAAACAACTTACATTTGACCCTCAGCTACCCCCTTTTTTAATCAAAGAAGTGAATAATAACCTCATAAATCACATAAATTCAGTAGTACAAAATTATTATTATTATTATTATTGATAAGTAAAAGCAAGATTGAGCAATCCAAATTGGTCCTTAACTGAGGATAATTCTACGAGAAGGGGAAGACTAAAAATAACATAAAAGGTCATGTTGGAAAGAGACTGTTGATACGGAATTCTTGTAAAGAATCTGGAATAATTGGAAAAGACTGTTGAGCTGAACCAGATCAAAAGTACATTTAGTACAAAATTAATGAAACATACTAAGGGTTTTTAGAGAACATCGTGAATAATATGTTTACTTCCTTAAATGAGCATTAGACAGTAAAAACTAATCTGACCCTTGTTGCCACAAGCCCAGTAGTGGCACGACCAACAACTATCAACAAACATCCTCATTAACAGGTATTCTGACTTCTTAAAATTCATTCTAAACAATTTCCACTAGTTGTTCTTCAAAGAAACACCAAGACAAGCTCCAAGAACAAATTCAATAAAATACAATAGGTGTGAGATTCTCTAGTCTTTTTATAGGTTTTAGATTTAGAAAGCCTAGTCCAAGTTAAATTGATAAATGTCAAATTTTTGGATTTAGAAGCTCTTAATGATATCTAACTTGTTAACTTGAATAGTCGATATTTTTGTCCAAAGCTTGATCAGTAGGTAAGTGTGCTCAATTGATTGTCAACTTGTCGCCACTAACCTGACCGGTTGGCCCTTCACTCAATTGGTTCCTGACCTCCTGTCTTGTTTAGGATTGATTGAATACACTAATAGGAATAGTCCAAAGTGTTCAAATCAGATAAAAAACGAATTTTATTTTTTGAACATATTAGATGCTTATTTGGGGTGATCAAACTTCCTAATCCATTAGGTTTACTAAGTCAAACTTACCATGCCTAATAGTGTGCAATTCAAGTTGACTAAGAGCATTGAATCCATTCGTTTTTGTGAAATTTTCAGTTTTGAATCTTCAGTTTTTAGTCACTTCATTTCAGGCAAATCAACATATGCTGAATGAACAAAGTGACTTTCGAATTAACTAATTACAGCCAATGTTTTTATTACAGAATTTGCCAAGACATAGACACTAAGTTCTAACAATTCTCAGGCAGAAGAACAAAAGAGGAAGAAGAAGGTAATTGAGTATTCAGGACTTGAAGGATATTGATGTGACAATGGTTTGTACCATGGATATATATTAAATGTGGCATCGAAAGTATGAATTGTATTGCATAGCATCTGAAATAATAGAGGAGGGTCAAGGGAAATTTCATTTACAAAAAGATTAAATCAATGGTTACATCGAATCCGGATATTTTATTATTTGTTATATACAAATAGGCCAGGCCTATTTCAGAAGAGGTCACTTAGGGCCTTATTGAATGTCCCCATGAATTTTAATGGTTCCATTCATTTCTTCATATAAGAAATGTCATATTCAATGGAGATATTATAGAAAATGGAAGACTATCATATCTCATGTTACACAAGCTTTTTCAGTTTTTATTGGAATGACAACAATTAGTATCATTAACATTATTTTTACATATAAGATTCCAATTTCCAAAATGGCTCCAGTCAAGATGATATATTTTTATAATGAAAAGACATTTGATAGTGGGGCAACTAAATTCAAGGGATGTCCAAACAGGCTCTTAGTGTATGTTGCTTAGTAATGGTATGGTCTTCACTGCATAGGCAAGAGAAAGATAATTATGCAAGAATACTTTAGGGACAGAAGATCTGAAGCCATGCTAGAGCAAGATTGAATATCTAGACAAATAACTTTGCCTAAATCAGTTTTTAGAAATTAGATAATAAGTGAATATTAACAAGAACACCTAGTAACAAATTCATTTATCTTGGGTCATGAAAAGGACGTCAGCAATAGAATTATCAAGAAAACCAATTACAACTTATCACATTATAGATTGGCATTGAACCAAACAATTGTATAATGGTTATGAATAAATTAACAAGGCATGTTGGGGAAGAGGTCTCTGAATGCTTGCAGTTTACTAACGACGTAATTTCTATTGAGTTGACTGAAGTAACGATAATTTTTATTTTAGAATTAAGAAGAGATAATTAAACTACAAAAGATTTTAATCTTAGTACATAGTGCATGACTCTTTATCTTAAACTAACCATCCATAAAGAGGGTGAGAGTGGAGAGAAATCTGTGGAATTGAAATACCATATAGTGCATGACTCTTTATCTTAAACTAATCATCCATAAGAGGGGAAGACTGGAGAGAAATTTTCCAATAAATCATATAGACAATGAAGGATGAATGGAGGGAACTAAAGCTGCTTCTAGAGTACTATGCGACCAAAACATACGTATCAATCTCAAGAAAAAATTATATAACATGGTTATGAGGCAATCCATGCTTCGTGATGTACAACATTCCAATCAATTTATAATCACATCTCCACAATTGTTCTAATGGAAGCAACATAATGAGAAATGTATAGATGTGTGAGAAATCAAAGGCAGCATCAGCCAACATCAAGCTGAAAAAGAGAAACCTAACATGACTTGAACCTGTGTAACAAAAAATCCATAACTAAAATTCAAACCAATTTAGATTTGGGATACAGACACTGAAGATGCAAGAAACTCCTTCTATTCTTTCTCTCTCTAGAATTCTTACACCTCAACCCGGAAAGATCCCTCTCCTCTTCATTCCAACTCCTATTTATAGACACTTACAAGATATTTACAAGATATTTACAAGATATTTACTAATTGCTGGACCTGGGCCTATTCCTCTGTAAGCCCTGGTCACCCTTGATGGGCTTACTCCCGCTCGGCCCATATGGCAGTGTCTTTCTATGGGCTGACCCAGCTGTTCGGACTGAAGGTTGTGTTTTGCGAGTCGGACCTGGCCCATGTCATCCGGGGCCTCCTCAACTGCCCCCATAATTGCCCCTTATTTAATAAGGGGTAATTATTGATGGCGTCTCATCATGACGCTGACGGCTCGAGATAACCACGTGGGGAGCGAACGGTCAGATCCAGAATCAATGTTCCGGGGCTCGAGGGATTTCTTGCCTTCCCGACGCTTCGGCCCTCGGGCCCCCTTGCCTTTATAATGCTCTAGAATTCCACTTCACTTCCCTTTACCGTCTCCATCATCAGTCAAATCTCCCTCTTTCTAGAACTGTGCTAAGCCTTTTCCGGTGAAATCCTTCGAGAGTCATTCTCCCAGCGATCTTGCAGTCCTCCGAGGTTAGTTTCGTTCTTTTTACTTTCGGCAGGCTTCCATTTTCCCTCTTTTAGATTCTTCTAGTACTTCCACCATGGTTGTAGATCTGGGTGTTCTTCGTATGAGACTTAGACTTCCTGACAACATCGAAGTTAGGGTTTGCCCCCAAGACGTTAATATTACGACCGGCGCCGGCCTCCTGCCCGGCGAAGTCTTATTCACGAACCTTCAACTGAATGTTGTTAGGTTCCCTCTGCACCCTTTCTTTAGTTATGTCTTCAATAGATTGGGGATATCCCCTCTGCAGGTCAACCCCAACTTCTTTAGGATCATATCTGTTATGCTCTTATTGATGCGTGACAGAAATCTGGACCTTGACCTCATAGACCTCCTTCTGTGCTATAAGGTCAGTAAGATCCGTACTAACGAGCCCTTCTACCACCTCTACCCGTTCGAGAAGATGTCCATATGCACTGACACAATAAAATCTGAAAAGGGTTGGAGGGATAGCATAGTGGGCATTAGTGGGGCTTGGTCTTCGCCTGCTGCAGAGGATTACCCAATCCCGAGCGCCTTTGGTGTCTGCTCTGTCTCTTCCTATAAAAAATTCAAATCCCATAAACATGACTGCCCCTGTGAAACATGCGTTCCTCGTTTTTGCACTTACTTATGCCGCTCCTTGGGAATACCTTGTGATGATTTGAGCTATAGTGTTTGCAGGGATAGGAGTAACTACTTGAAGAGATACGTTCTGAACGATATTCCTTCCTGCTCAGATCTCCTCACTTCAGACAACCTCTTTGCGCT